CTTGAGGGCTGGCCCTGGCTTTTGCAGAAATGTGAGACCCACCAAACTAGGAGCTGGGTCTAGGGCTGGAACTTGGTGGGCCCCTGGCTTGTCCCAAATATGTGAACTGAGCTCATCTGGAGAATATTTTGTAAACAGTTCCTTTCTCTGGATCAGTAATAATCCAATTTTCAGGCCTTAGAGCCAGAGGTGCCCTCTGAGAGGTGCCCCCCTCATTGTCCTGGCTCTAGCTTTTTGCCTCAGGTCCAGTGGCATCACTTAGGGACAACACAAAAATTATTGGACTAGACTTCCATACCTTTTCTAGACCTACAGTGAGGCTGTTCTGACTCCTACCACTTCCCTACCCTCCATGCCTAATTCCACTCTCAGCCCAGTCCCTTCTCACCACAGTTGGGCAGAGTCACATGCTGGCCAGACAGCAGGCATCTCTCGCATCTCATTTTAGAACCCTAAGGGAAAGATGCTCGGTAGCTTTGGGTCCAACCCTTGCAGGTGAGAGTCTTAAGCCTGCAGCATCCGTCTCTGTTAAGATCTCCAGGATAAGATTCTCGGACTTTCCCAGGTCAGCCATCAGCGTATTTTATTGATGGGCAGGAAGTTTCTCCTTTTATCCCATGTGAAATGCCACCAACTTTCATTCAAGTGCATCTCCTCTTGCCATCCTCGGTGAAATTCGGTGTCCTCGCTTTTCTGACCCCCATTCCCAGGAGTTCTTTCTTCAGGCCCAAGATGATTAAATGCACCAAATGGATAAATTGGGATTTTTGTAAGTCACCTTCTGATTCATATGGATAGTGAATTGCATTTTCCTATATCAGATTTTCCTAAATCCACAGGTGGTACCTGCCTTATTGGGCTCTGCATACATAACTATTTCAGAAATAGGGTGTATTTGTTTTAAACTTGACAAGTTACAGAACACTTTCTCTTTTTCATTCCTGAAGCAGCCCCATGAGTCAGATTGAATAAGGAAGGCATCACTCACTTGCTACAGATGAGGACTTGGGCTTGTGAGTGGCTTCTTAGCCCAAGGCACCTGACTGTAAGAACAGAGCTGGGGTCACAGTCAGGTCTTCTGCCTCCGAGTCCAGTGCTCCCTTTCTCTACGTCATTGCTGCCTCTCTGTGGGTGCCACCTTGACTGGGAAAGCCCAGAGGATATTGGGGAGTGAGGATGAAGGGCAAAGAGAAACCTGCCTGGGATTAAAATGCCGCCATGGATGCTGCTAATGAAATGAACCTGATCACCACAATGAGCCCCCAAACTGCCATCCTAGAGCAGGGCTTATCCCAAGCCACTTAACGCTCATAGCTCCTGCTGCAGAAATGCCAAGACGTTTGCAAGACATTGTCCTCTTCTGGGACAGGAGTCATAATATCCAATTTATAAATCTCAGCACTGTTTATTTATTCAACAAAGTGTACTCCCTGCCCCTCTCCCCCGACACACACGCACACCCTAGCTGAGCAGTAGACAAGGTGCCCTTGTCCACTAAGAGCCACGTCCCATCTTCTCTTCCCGAGCTGATCCTGGTATATGGGACCGATTCTGGCCCCCCAAAATAAGTCTCCGTGCCTGGGGAAAAGGCACCCTTCACTTAGATCACTGAGAATCGACTGGAGAATGACTTCCACAGAAAGCACCCTCAGGTCAGAGATTTGGCTTCATGCCTTCCCCCCTACCCCCTGCAACCCCACTCTCTACGTCTCCTCTTAGAGGGAGACAGCGTTCTCAGATGAGCCCCTTTCCTGTGTAGCCAGCCAGTGTTCAGTATGTGGAGTTACGCTGACTTCGCGAAAGAAGAAAATTACTTTGTCCCTAATGTCTTCCCACTGTCAGACAGCAGGAACAGCTACTGACACGTTTATGTGCCAAGTGGCAGTCCCCATTCTCTCCTAAGCAGCCAGAGCCGTTGCTTTTTATGAGTCTTCTCAAAGATGCATGAGTTTCCAGATGGCTTGTTCGGGGACTTTAACATGCTTTCTGGAGCCTGGGTCTTCTGCTCGCAGAGACAGACACACACAAGTGTTGACTGTGGAAAATAGAGGCTCCTCTCTTCCGTGCGCCCGGCCCTCAAGGGTGCGGGTTCCACTGCCCAGAAGCCTAGCTGGAGACAGGGGACCAGCCCAGAACTGGGCGCTTATTGCCTGCCGGCTGCGCCCTCTAGTGGGGACCCAGCAGCCCTGTCTTTCACCCCTGGCTGGGGGACATCTGCAAGGTGACTTTGAGCTGAGGCTCCGGCATTGTGATGAGCAAGTGCATAATAAAACAGGACTTGGGATTTGAAAGCTGCATTCTAATACAGTGTCTTCTCCACGGTGATTTTAGTGTCATTTGATGGAGGATGACTGAGCAAGGAGGGGTGACATAGACCTAAGATGAGCTGCTTATTGTGAAATTCCCTTCAGGCCAACTCAGAAGCCACAGGCCTCCCCGCACACAGGAATGGGAGAGGTTGCCAGGGATGGGCATAACACCAACAGCCCTTCTGTCTTCTAAGCCTGCAGAAGGGGGCATTTCTGGATATCACCCTTCTGTGGGCATGCTACATCCTGTCTCCGAGACTGCTTCTGCTGGCTAGGTTAGTCTCTAGGTGGCTCTTCTGTTGGAAGAAACCGAAATCTAAACCTGCTTCTCCCCACCCACTAGTTAGGTGAGCCTGCCCAACACCTTCCTGGGTTCACATCCGGCCAAACAAGAAAGAAGCCAAAAAAACTTTCTTTCCATCAACCACTGCGCCTCCTCATGCCCACCCCATCCTATTAGCCTAAAATGGAACAGGCTAATTAATTCATTTGTATAGGGAGGGATTTCAGCTGCCTGGACAAAACCAGGAGTCCACTGTCCAAGCTTCTTCTGTTTTCCTGAGCTCAGAAGAAAAAAATGTGTTAGACTAAGATAATACCGCCTTTTGAATATCTCGGCTTGATATTTGCCTCCATGAGTGAGAGGGCCAAGTGTTATCTGCAAGTTGAATCTTCTGTATTCAAAAATCTCTGATCCTTTTGTCTGCCAGCGCATTCCCAGATCAGCCGTTCACTTGCTCTCAGCCTCTGTAATTTATTTTTTTTCTTTTTCTCTTTAACCTGCTCTTTCCATTGGCCAGTTTATTCATTTCTCAGCTACAGCTTCAAAGGGGCTCACCTTCGGGCTTCCCACCCCAAGGGCATCCGGAGGCTACAGTTCTGTTTTCTCTGCTGAGTCAGGAGCCAGGCCCAGCTTGATTTGGTCTCTCGTGTATCTTTGTGTCTCTGTCTCAGTCTCCTGCCAGTGTGCCTTGGGTGCCTCATCAATCTCTTCCCATCCCTGTGACAAGTGGGTGAAAATCAATCCACTTCTGGCTCTTCCAGGCCCACCAGAACTGAGGGCCTCAAACCACAGGTCCCTGGGCAAGGGAGGGGCCAAAGCCAGGAGTGACCCCACCTGCATGGATGTTCTTTGCCTCTGCCATTGAAGGCAACTGGTCACAGGGAAGAGGGGGAGAGGCCAAGGGAGGCAGAAGGGAGAAGTGATTGTTGCCAGGAGCAGCCCTTTGGAGCCGAAGATCTGAAAGTGTGACTCTCAGAATGTCTGGTTCTTTAATACGGGTTAGCCGTAGACCAAAGTTGGCCAGCCCAGACTCACCTTGAGACTTAAAAATCAATAAGAACTTACTTTTACAATTAAAAAAAACATTGTTTTCCATTTTGGAAAAGAAAATAAAGTTTAAACTACTAAGGGGAAATAAAGGTGAACAAAATTAACCTAGTTAACTGGTTGACAGGCTGCGGCCCTCATTAGGGTCAGAATGATGAGATTGGTGGGGGGCCGAGGCAGTGTCACCTTCCGCTGCCCCCCGATCTGCAACCCCACCACTCTCTCTGGATTTGTGCGTGTCAAGTCCCCTCTCTGTATACATCCTGAGCTTGCTGTTCTCAGTCTGGAGTTGACATTGCAGGATAACCAAGAGAAAGCAGGCATTTTGATCAGCTATGGTTTAGCTATGAATTGGTTCAGTCGGTATGTTCTGCATTCATACTTCTTTGTCTTTTTTTTTTAAACAAAAGGAAAAAAAAGTTTAAATCCCCCCTTTCCTTCTCCTGCAGGAGGTGAGTGTGTGGGTGTCCTGTAGAACCATTGGCTTCCACCCCAGCTCTGGCCCCAGCCTCCAGGTTTACCATTCCCCCCCATCCCTCCCTCCATCCCCTTCTCTCCACCCCAAAAGGAAACTCTCTGCCGCCATCATTACTGTTATGTCAAGATGCCCAAACTCTCCATGACATATCCCATCCTCCGACCACGTTCAGTATTGATGACTTTCATTCAGGGTTATGAGTGGGAAGGGTGGGAAGGGAGGGAGTAGCCAGTGGGGAGGGGGGAGTGGTAGGGGTGGGATGGAGAATGGAAATCTTTTTTGTCTTTTTTTAAAAAAACAAAACAAAACAAATTTGTCATTTAATGGATCCAAAAAGAAAAAGTGAAACACACATACAAGAAAAGATCAAAAATCCCCTCTGCAAAGATTTTTTTTTTCCTGGACACAAATTGCTTTGTTTCCTGTCACGTTTTAATATCAATATTAACACAATGTGTAGTCTAAAACTAGTTCCTTTGTAGTTTGCATGGGATGTGAATGCTGTCTCAACGTGCCCAGATCTAGAAGACTGCATGAGCATCAATTCAGATGTGAAAAAAAAAAAAACTCTTTCTCTCTCTCTCTCTTTCTTCCATATATATCTCTATTTCTATTGTGATAATTTGGTGGGCAGTGAAGCACCTCCGGTTGGTTGCCGTAGTGTGTTGAATGATTGTTTTTTTATTCTCTATATTTTTGGAGCTCCAAGCTTCTTAGTAGTAGCCTGGGCTGAGTATTCTTGAGTCCCTGCTGATGTTTTCGCATGGCCTTGGTTGAGTGTTAGAAGTTGGGCCTCAGCTGTTTTTCTCAAGTGTTTGGCTTGTAATGACCGGTGCATGCCTGGCTTCTGGCCTCATACCCAGCTCTATTCTCTGCACACCAGTCCTGAATAGCTACAGTGCTCAACCGAATTTTGGCGCGCCCGCTTCCCCGGCAGGCTCCAACCCGGCGCGGCCCGGAGGCTTCCCGGGGGCCAACAGCCCAGGACCTGTCGCCGATCTCTACGGCCCTGCCAGCCAGGACTCCGGAGTGGGGAATTACATAAGTGCGGCCAGCCCACAGCCGGGCTCGGGCTTCGGCCACGGCATAGCTGTAAGTACCTGCCTTCCCTTGCCCTCCTGCCTCCTCCTTCCTGACCAGCTCCTTGTGGCCTGTGGGTGTGCCAGGAAAGCCCAAAATCGGGGGCAGAGGAGAGGACAGAGGGTCCCCATCAACATCACACCAGCTCCTGAGGGCTAAAGCCTCCGTCGTCTTAGACGTGTCCTGAGTGCCTCTCGTGTGGCTGTGTGATGGAGCGGAAGGAGTGTGGGCAGGTCCAGTTCAGATCTCACCACTCCATCACCTTCACACAGTGCATCCTTGAGCCACTTCGATGACCCGCCTGAACCTCATTTCCCCGACTGCAAAACCAGCATCTCTGTACTTTCCTCAAAGAGTGTGGGAGGATTATTCGAAATAATGTCACGCACTGGCACGTAATAGGGCCTCAGTAGTGGCCACCTTCCTTGATCCCCGCTTTCTGGACACTGTCATGTGGGCTGGGACCTGAAAGCTGGGAAATGTCCCAGTTCCCCACCAGAGTAGGAGCCTTAGTCAACAGAGCCCCTGATCTAAAGTCCAGTAGCAGTGCTGGAGCCTGGGAGGTGGTGTGGGGGTCCAAGCCCTCTCCCAGGCAGTTTCCTTTGCTAATGTTTCTTACAGTTTCCAGGTTCCAAGTAAGTTCCCATTTGCATTCTTTAGCTGCAGCCCCCACCCCTTGAAGGCCAGATGCATTTGATATTTGTAATGCTCTGTGGTTCTATAATCTGACTAATCCAGGCAATGGAGATTTGCTTAACAGATTTGCATGCTGTTTTCAGATTGTATTGTTCTTCTCCCTCCCGGTGTGTGTGAGCATGAATGTGCCTGAGCCCACTTGCTCGCTGTCCCTTCCATTTTGGAACCAGAAAATTGGCCAACCTTTGCCCTAGCCAGCCTCAGCATTTTGGAGGCAGCTTGGTTTTGAGCTAAGATGGGTGCGTCTGCAGTCCCAGGCCACGTTCCTGTCAGACTCTGCTTCTGAGCAACAGCTGGCAAGCCCTGCCTTGGGGGCCACGCTGCGGAGAACAAAACACGTGCAGACAGTCTAGGGCACCAAGGTGGCCTCATTCATGCCCCCTGGCATTGGGAGCTCCTCCCTCATACACACACGCGCACACGCACGCACACATGCACATGCACACACGCACGTGCACACATCCATGCATGCACACACATGCATGCACGCACACACGGACGCACACACGCACACGCACACATGCACACACACCTGCCAGCCCTACTTGTGCAGGGTGGGTCCTTGTTCAGTTCTGCTCCCAAGCCAGTATCACTTAAGTCAGTAGTTTAATGAATCTAATCCCCTCGGATCAACTGTGGTACCAAATCCAGAATATTATTATTCACCTGAGAGCTGCTCAATTTAGGGGACCATCTATCACTACTTAGAACACAACTCATTTCCATATTCAGCGTCCAGAAACACAGGCCCAATTTGTTCTTGAAAACCGGGGTCTTTTGACCTGTGGGCTGTGATGTTTTTCTGAAATAACCAGAAAGCATCCCAGTCTGTCTGCACCGGGATTTCTTCTCCCCAGCTAGAGCCGCTGGGACTGTGGACAGAGACTTATCTTTGCACTCTGGGGTTCAGGGCAGCCATGCCCATCACTGGGGGCACAAACCCCCGTTTCCCACCACCCACCCACGCCTCTGAATCTGGCTTTTGGTTTTTCCCTGGGTAAGCAGATAGGCTTGGTAGGGGCGGAGGGAGTGGGGACTAGGGGTTTGGAGCTAAGGAGGATGTCATCCTGGCCCCTCATGGCACGGTGTCTCAGAATTACATATTCATGCTGGCAACCACAGAACTAGTCCTAGAGATAATTTCCTTTCCCAGAATGTGACAATCTGTTCCCATGTATAGCACACTGATGACCTTAACAATTGTGCAATTTTAGGGACCTTTGATTGCAACGGCCTTTACAAATGGATACCATTGAGCAGGTGCTTTCGTTGCCATCTCACTCTGAGGTATTACCGTCTCTGCCATGTGTCTCCGCCCTGCTGGTGTGTCCGTACATGTATGTCCACGGGTCATACATGTACGTGCGTGCCCCTGTCTCATCACATCCACATCTCTCTCTCTCCTCTTTCTGGACCCCTTTTCAGGAGGGTGGGGGCAAAAACAAATCCAGTCTTTTAATCTGTCATCCCTTCCTCTAGCTTTTAATCATGACCCCCACCTTTTTGACTCTCTCTCTTTTTTTCTTAATTTGGTTCTTTGGATTCTTTTTCTGTATCTTCCCCACCCTTCATCTTTCTCTGTCTTGAAATACAATCAAGAGTGTGGGAAACTGGAAGGAGATCTCGTGCTGCGCCCGTCCCAGGGGGATAGAGGCAGGGAAGCATTGGGCTTCTGCTAGGCCTGGAAGCAGGGATGGGGGCCAGGGCCACCCACTCCTGGAGGTCCTTTGAGCTGGCCCTGTGAGTTGCTGGGCCCCTTCAGCTCCCCAGGCCTTGCTGGGGCTCAGCCAATGGGGTTCATGCAGTCAAACAGTCAGACTCCATCTTTTAGTGAAAAGAAAACATTTTTGCCAGTAACTACTGAGTAATTATCCAGATTACTGCACGAAAAGCAAATTAAATTAACGACATCACCTGTGTAACGTGGATTTGGATCCCTGCCAGTTTCCTAACCTTTTAAACTGAGCTCAAGTTAATTAAACATTTTTTCAGTCACTTTGATGGGGATATGGAGGGGATGGAAGAGAGGAGAGGGAGGTTGGGGCAGTGAGGAAGCCCCTTGCCACACACTCCTGTGGAAGTGAGTATCTGTCCTTCTTGGGAAGAACACCAGCAAGGGAGAGGGGTTGTCCTTGTGAAAGCACTAGATGTGTACTGTGTTAGCACATTAAGTTTGTGAGGTTGGAACATGGATCTGTCTCTGGAAAAGAGAGAGTGACAGCTGAGGCCAGGGAATGTATTCCACTAGGAAAATCCCACAGGGGCACCAGAGCCTTTCACTCTTGGAGTTGGGATGTAGGAGAAACAAGGCTGGAGATGAACTGGCCACTTCAGGCTTGCACTTCATTGGATGCCTCTCTCCTAGAGAGGGATTGCTTCTGGCTCCTGAGTCAGACCAGGTGGAGAACTGGGTTGAGTTGAGCTCCATAAATCTCTTGGATTTCTCTAATGTTGCTGCTAAGGGATCACCTCAACTAACGCAACTGCCTCTGTTAACCAAATAAACCATGTGTGTGAATTCCCCCACCCCTCGCCTCCACTTCCCCTTGACCACTGACCCAGCCATTGCTGGCCAGAGCCAGAGGCCACTAACAGTTTGAAGGAAAGCTACTCGCTACTAATTAAGCTGGGTTTGGGGGCCCAGAGGAAGTAAGGTTTCTCTGGGAGCAGGGACAACTGATATCACCAAGAACTCCGGAGACTGAAGATGGCTCCAGCCCTTTGTGAAGTCACGTGAAGAGGGGGTTAAACAACTACCAGGCACAGCAGACCCTTGAAAGGCCAGGCACTGGGGCTGCCTGTGCTCCCTCCTTACCTCCTTTGGAAGAGAAGGAGTTGGTGTAGGGCTTCCTGCCCACAGCTCCATGTACCCCCAAGGCCACTAAAGCCTTTCCATAGGGGTGGGGCGGGATAGAATGGGATGGGGGAGGCTGCTACCAGCCCATCCTCCCTCATCTAAGTCTAGGATCAATTTCCAGAGAAGGACGAAGTAGCCAAGAGTGTGATAGCAACTCACCCCCTTCCGAAATGGATTAGGTGAACTCATAGAGCCACGTGGCTGCACCGCAGCAGTTAGGAAGGACTGGTCAGACACACACATTGTCCCCAACAGAGGTGACCCTCTGACATTTAGCGCCATCCACAAAAGAGGAGCCCAGGCCCCGCTCCCCGCCCCCCGCCCCCCACCCCCCACCCGCAGTCAATTCAGGGAGACTCAATTAACACATCTGTGAATCCTGGGCCTGTTTTTGTTTCCTGTAACCAAAGCTGGTTATTTGTTGTATATTTTTAGTGTCATGACCTTTAGTTTTTGGTATGTGGTATGATCTTTTAGCGTAAGTTTGCATTTAAAAGTTATTGATGGGTATCTAATAAAGGCAAAAGTTGGCGGGGTTTTTTTTGTTTGTTTGTTTGTTTTTAACATTTAGCTTTGGAAACAGAAGCTTAAACAGAAAAAAGGTATCTCCGGTCAATGGGCAGTTGGCCCATCTGGCTGCAACCCCTGTGACCACATTTCCCACCATTACCTCAAGAACCCTATGGTACTGTATCAAATCAGCAAGAAGAGTTGTAACCTTGTCCTCTCCCCAGTATCAGGCATGGTTTAGGTGTCAGATTTCCAAAGCTGTGATCTCAGTAGGCTTCTAGCCAGGTGATTTTCATACATGTTCAGTAGTGCAATGAAGTCCATCTTTGAAACTCTAGTTAAAACAGTGGAGGAAATCTCATACTTGTCTGACACTTCTTTCTCCTCCCCTCTCCCCTCCATTTTATGTTTTCTTCTGGACATCCTGGCCTTCCCCACCCTGCAGAGCATACCTGGATGTCCAGGCAAGACTGGGCGAAGTTTCTGAGTGGCCCTTTGTTTAGGTGATGTCCTCAGACCTGGACCCCCACCAGCCTCACTCCCCATCCCAACCAGAGATGGCTCACTTCGGATCGAGGGTTGACTACATCTCATCATCTCACGAATCTGCTGTAATATAAGACAACAGCTTTTAAATGTGTATATAACCCATGATTTCAGTTTGTTTTGTTTTGTTTTTCTTGATGGTTTCCCTCTCCCTTCCTGTCTTCCCATTCTCCTTTTAAATCTCTTTGAATCACATTTGGTAGTGATTTTGACTTAGTCCAGTAGTCACATAGCTTTAATATCTAGTTCAAAGCTAACCATAGTATAATTGTTATATTAAGGAGTTATTTTTTCTTAAAAAAATTTTTTTTTGCTTGTTTTGGTTCTGTTCTCACTTTTAAAGGATGCTGAGATGGTAATATTACTCTCCCTATTTTGGTACCAATTCTGAGACTGTATGAATTTTCAGGTGGAACTTGAGCACACACTGAAGCAAAGTTGTGAAGTGCGGGGCGGGAGGTGGGCATGAGCTTTCTATTTTGCGTTGTAGAAGAAGTGAGATGTAGTAAGCTAATTAACAGACTCTCTAGCAGTTCTTTTTGTGATGTCTCTTTGTTAATCTGAGTCTATCTATTTTCGGCAATAAGGTAAGGACGACAGTGTTTTGGGTGTCCTCCTTTTCTATAAGTGCTTTTTTTCTGTTGAAAGAGGTGATATTATAAGGTTTTTTGAAATTGTGAATTCTAAAAAAGAAATGTTGTAAATACAATTCCATTAACTACATAGAAACTATTAAGAAAGAGAGAATCAAAAATATTTTTGTGAGGGAGTCGGTCCCAGGCAGTTTGATGCTCTGTGGAAGGAGGCGGGAAGGGAACGTTGGCCAAGTCAGTTACTGAGATGAAGATCGCCCAGCTGCCAGGACCACCCCAGGACAAGTTAGAGCACTGTTTAGCTCCTTTGTCTGTGTGATAGACCTAAGAACTGTATTAGTGTTGTACCAGCCTATTAACCTCTTGTCTGTGCACAGCTTCAAATGTTACCGTCTAGTTAGATTTTTATTTAAAATATGAAAAACTGCTTTTCCCAAGACGTTTTTTAAAAACAAAGCTACAATTTTAATATTTAACATATTTAAAGTTTCAAAGCACACCTGTTTGGCTTGGGTGGGGGTGGGGTGGGGGGGATATTCTTTTTCAGTCTTAATTTTTAAATATTTGATCATTTTCTATTGTCCAATCATTTCAGCACCTCCAAAGGTTCCTAGGACACTTTGCCTCTCTTCTCCCCCTGCTCCCCACCCCGCTCCCAGATCTGGGGGCCCATGGGCCAGGAGTGGATAAGCCTGCATTAATACAACCTTTCTCCATTCACTTTCTATTTACAAATTAGGAAAGCAACCTTTTGGTTTATATATTTTTTTTAATACCTCAGTGCTGCAAGTATCACCAGAGAGGCTATGGAAGAATTTTTTTTTTAATTTATTGTAGATGTAAACAGAATTTTAAAAATAAAAAGTATAAACATCACTGCACTGTGACTGGTGGGAAAAACTGACAGTTTCCTCTTTGCACATGTTTAACATTTGGCTGTTATAATATATGGTCCTCGGTTGGGGAAAGATACTTATGATGAAGGATATTTTTTAATTTAACTTTTTTTTAAATATTGGTAATAGGTCGGCAACAGCAACTATAGAAGTACAACTCAATAGATGGCATTAAAACATATTGTAGTGTGGATATATATTTTTTCTTTTTTAAAATGTGATATTGACGTTTTATTAATATTTTTTAAATTGTTACGTTTATAAATTTGGTACTTAAGGCACAGCCAGTATGAGACACTGAATGCGACATTTATTATAAAGAGCTGCTGCACTCCTATTTTTATAAATTTTACTAACAAAGTAGACTAATGTAGACATTCACAGACATGGTAGGGCAAAAGCATCTTCAAACTAAAGACTCCAAAATGCTAACTCAGAAAGAAATTAAAAAGCCTTTTTCAATTCTAATGAAACAGCAACAACATTTTTTTTTAATTAAAAAAAAATCATGTTCTTTGTTTTTCTAATAAAATGTTAGGTTGTTTGGTGAGGTTTTTTTATTGCTTTTTTCCTTTCTTTGTTTCTTTTCTTTTCCCCCAAACAACCAGATTAAATGCTGAGCGCTTTTAAAATATCAAAACTTGTTCAAGTCATAAAACAACAAAACAGAAGTTTTATTTAAAAAAAAAAAAAAAAAAAAGAAAGAAAAAATAGTAAATTCCCAGAAATTCAGTGTTTAGACGAGGGAATTTAATTCCTAGTTTGTCCATGTTGGTGATGTACTGTACTTCCCTTCCTTTTCTCTGCATCCCCCATCACCTCATAGAAGACTCTTTGTTGATCATTGTATGTTAATAATGTATAAAATGGCTATCTTGTAAGCGTGCTGTCCTGGTACTAGTGTAGCGACTTTTTTTCTCCTCTTTCTTCTAGTACATATTGATAGGTATAACATAATTAAGGTTTAAAAAAATTAGACATAGTTATTCAGATTTAGGACCAGTAAGGATAGAACTTTCTCTTATTTATGAAAAAAAAAAAAAGCTAATAATTTTGGGGCAGTTTTTTCCTTTAATTATTTTTTTCAATTTCAAGTTTAATTTTATTTTAGCTGATCTGATGTGGTTTCAACTAACCCAAGGTCTCACCATGTTAAAATGCCGGCGGACTCTACGGCGTTTTGTAGATTCCCCACCCCCCCCCACTGTGAAGGGGTGCCATACTACCTTAAATGCTAATGCTAGATATGCAAAACTGGATTTTTTTAATTTATTTTTTAAAAGAGGGAGGCATGGTATATTAAAATGATTTTACTAAGAGAAAAATATTTTTTTAAGAATGCTCAGAAGAAATTGATAATCTGTGTGAATATGTTTTAGATGTTTATATACCTTTTGAAGAGACCCAGTAGCCCATAGCACAAATCTTGTGGAAATCCGATATGTTTTAATGTGGCTACCTAGGTTTAAGGTTCACGTTAGTCCCCCCATCCATCTAGAAGTCCATTTTGAAAGATTTTTGTAAATTCTTTTAGCACTGATGTTCAGCCTTGTCTTTGTTTCAGTTAAGCTCAATGGCGAACATGGGAACCACCTTTCGCCTTCCCTGGGGGAGAAACCCTCTTGGCTGATGGCTTTTCCCCGGAATTATCAAACAGCCACCGGGTGACTTTCTGGCTTCCAGATCCATCTGCCTGAGACCCCCGAACTCCTCTCCTCCCAAGCAGAGGCGAGTGAGTGGCATTAGCTCCCGGACCCATTCCCGGTTCTAGCTGGGCATGGGGCTGACGGATATGACCAAGCCTTGGTCTGCTCTCTAGCAGCTTCCACAGACTTGGCTCGTGGCCTTCCTCATATCCATTGGGAAAACCAAACAGCCTCGCGCTCTATCCCAGTCGCCCATTAGCTTGATTCAAACGAAGCCCCAACAGGCCTTTGCGTTTTTATCCTTCATAATCTTCATCTTAATTTGAACTTGTAGCTTGGACTTTAAGGTAGCATGGCTCTATTGCTGTCAATTTACTGTTTCACTGCACAGCAATCACAGCCAGTGAATGTTACACACATCTTGCTAGACTAGTATAAAAATCATTGGGTAATTGTTGGTTCTAATGACCTGAAAGGTGTTCAGTTTTTGTTCTTGGTTTTGTTTTGTTTTTGATTTCTTGGGGGTGGGTTTTGCTTGTTGTTCTTTTTCATTTGGGGATTTAGGGGGAAAAAATTTTATTTTTGGTTCCAAATAGAAAAACAAAACCTATTTTGATCTTCAGTGCAAACGAGGGCTAGGGACTTAGCCTCCTCCACCACCTCCACACTGCTTCATTCTGCCATTCACTCACTGCAGCATATTCAAGAATAAAGCAATATCGTTTACTACATTTTTTATTGAAGGTCAGCCATGCTTTCTGTATTATATTGCATATGAAATTGTTTACAAAAGAAACACTAACTCATACTTCTCTTTATCGGTTGCAAGTGGCACGCAGGGACAGAGGGAGAGTGGGGGGCTGGTGGGGGAAGGGAGATTTTTTTTTTTTTTTCTTGAATGTGCTTCACAAGCCAGGCTATCTTCCAAGGGAGGCAGACAGTGGGTAGAGCAGAGGGACTGACTGCAGGCAAGCACATTGAAGAAAGACACTGGCGGGTTTCCCCACCCTCACCCCAAAGCAGACAACTAGCAGACGTCAGCTCAGCCCTGTCCTGGGCACAGACACTACACAAGGAGACGCTGGAAGTTAAGCAATACTTTAATACTGTAATATGTTTGTTTTCTTTTTCTTTTTTTTTTTTTCCACCAAAAAAAAGTAAGTAAACTAAAACACAAAAACATATAAATAAAATCCACCCCTCTTGTCGGGGGCTGGGGGGGCAACCTTAATCCAAACACCTGGCTATCAAATAATCAGAATGTATTGTCTCAGACAGGATTTCAGTTCCGGGAGGCAGGGGCATGATGGGGGAGGGGGCTGGAGGCTGAGAGACAAAAGTTCCAGAGCCTCCCTCGAAGGTTCTCTACTACTGTATTCTGTACATAATGTACCATCCCATGTGGAATCTGTGAGTGTCCTCTTAAGTAGCGTGGGCTAGCCAATCTGCCGTTCATGGTGTATTGTAAACTCCGAATTCCATATGTAATAGGATGCAAGTCTAAGCGTTTCATGTGGACATAAATGTATCTAAATAAAACTTTCCCTAGCACTGTGGCTGACCTCACCCTTACTTTTATACTTTAGTATGAAACTGATGAGAACTTTGGTAGTGAGTATTTTTTTTATATATATACATATATATGTATCTATCTATATATATATCTCAAGCATCTTTCAGGTCTTTGTGTGTGGCTTTCTTAAAGCCCTGTTGTAAAAAATTACTATGTGGATGGCAGTCTCTCACATCACAGATGTGGAAAGTATAATTTTATATTTGTATTTTCAAATAAATAAGTTTGTGAAAGGTTTCCATCCTCTACTGTGGTCCAGAAATCAATGTGTTTGTCTGACAAAAAAAAAAATAAAATAAAATAAACTGTTTTGAACAGAGTTGTTTGGTATTCTTTCGCTTGCAGAGGAGGGCTGGGCTCCGGGAGACCTGTTGTTTTGCTTGAGCGGGAGAGGATCTCATCAAATAGCACCTGCCACCCTCACCCCTCAGCGTGAATGTTGGCCACGGGCCTCCAGCAGGGAAGAAGCCCCTGCCTTGTCCCCAGGGAGCTTGTGGCACCATTTTTATGAAGTGGCAAGAGAGCACTAAGATGGAAGAGCAGATGGGAGAGTGGCGTAGATTAACAGCAGAAGGCACACAGAACCCATGGGTGGACAGGGAATAAACCCCAAAGGTCCTGCAGATCAGAGGACCCAGATGGTGGAAGGAGCTAAGGGGCTTTCCTGGGTGCTGTCCTCAGTTATCAACAGCACGTGGGAGAAGGCGCCAAACCACATTCCACAACCCTTGAGTAGGGATCTGAACAGGTATCAGACCTCTGCCCTCAAGGAGGTTAAAGTTTTGCCTACTGGAAATCAGCAGAATCACAAAACTAAAGATGTAGAGATAGATCATCTGCAATACTTTCCACCCCTCTCTCTACCAAACAAATGAGAGGATACAAAAGAATTGACACCCAGTACATTGAGGGCAAGTCCCAAGACCTGATGATGACAGCTACAGCATGCTCTGAATCAGTGGATTCCTCAGCTTCGAAGCCCTGGAGAGAAACGCCAGGCCAAGAGGTGTGCAAGGGATGAAGCGTGGATGAAGGACAATGCCTGCCAGTGTCCCTTAGCTGCTTCCTCAAGGCCCCCAGGAAAGCTGTAGTCTCCAGGACATGGCCTTCTTGGGTCCCTCCTCCAACTTCCTGTCTCCTGCATATAACAAATTTATCTTTTTTGTAAAATGGGCTTTCCAGTGAAAACCAGAAAACCAGCTAGACAAGATTCTTTAAAAAAGCTGAAGCACTAACAATTTTAAGGTATTCCCGCTACACTGGGGTCCTAGAGGAGACAGTAGAAGATGCATTCCTTTATCTGGAGCTGGAGGCAGGAGCACTGGGTTCCAGGCCCACCTCCTGTGTGTCCACAGACAGCCCTCCACAGTGTCTCGTTACATTGTTTAAGGGCAGGAGAGAAGAGTATAATCCCTGCTGCCCCACAGAAATGAAAGACCAATGGGAGCTGACGTGAGAAATCCCTTCTAGGAATTCTGAGAGAAGTGAGCCAGACACATGAGGCCGGCCATTGTGGCCATCTTCCTCATCCTGATTGCTCAGCTCAAAGAAGGGGGAGGCCCAAACCCAGCCCAGGAGCCTAAGCAGAGACAGAGCAGGGAACAGGGGCACCAACTGTATGCCAAGTGGATCATACATGTGCCCTGGTTAGTCCCACATGTGCCACATGACTATCTACATTGTAATGGTCAAATAAGGTGGATAATTTGCCCATGGTTGTACAACTGCAGAGTGGCAGGATGGAACCCGATCTCCAATACATCCTGCTGCCCCGGGTTCAAGCCTGGTGACAAATATCAGCATCAGTGTTGAGTGTGCCTGGGAGGGTGGGAGTGAGGCTTCTAACCTAAGTGCCTACCTGAGTCAACAAAATGCACCAAAAAAAGGCAGGACAATACCAAGCTAGAGAACAACAAACTTTCCTGTTTTAATGTTTCATGGAGAAAAAAAAAAAAAAAAAATAGAAAACAAATCAGCAAAAACTAGAAGGAAAAAGAAGAAACAACAATGTAAAATAAATAATACACAAAGTAGGATAGAAGGAATGAGATCAATTGAATCTACCATTATCTAGATATGAATGGGTTGAATTTTCTATCATTACAAAATAGATGTGTTTAGAAAAAACAAAACCCAGTTATGTGCTAGGTATAGAAACACACTTAAAATGATGAAAATGGCTAACAATAAAGGGGTGACAAAGAGAAAATAGGCAAATACAAAAAACAAGGGCGAGAATTGAAATGTCAGTATCAGAGTGGAATTTAAGGTTAAAAATACTCCACAGCATATTATGTAATGACAAAAGACACAATCTATTAAGAAGATATAGTGGCAGTAAACTCTATGTCCCAATTATCAGAGGAACTGAATACTTTAAATCAAAAACCACTAGAAATGCAGGGAACTTGATAAAAAGTAAAAATACAATTAGAGAAATTAATATACTTCTCTTAGAACTAGATATAATCAATAGACAAAAAACAAAGACATAGAAGAATTGAATAATGCAACTAGTAAACCTGATGTGATGGCTCTATATAACCTGATCTGATGGCTCTTTGAATAGAGGTTGCACATTTTTTTTTGGTTAATATTCATGGAACATAAAAATCAAATAAATTTTGGCCAGCAGCACCCCCACCCAAAAAAATTTTAGAAACGAATAATTAACATATGACTATAAATATTGTAACTGTGTAAAAATTAAGAAACATTCTGTTGGATCAGAGAGAAAAGTTAAAGAAGATTACAAACTGCCAAAAAGCAACAGAAAACACACATTATACCCAAACTTGATAGCATACAGCCAAAGCTGTACTCAGAGGAAAAATGTTAACTTGAAATGCCTTCAGATGGAATTTTTTTGGGGGTGAAGGAATATATTACTTATTCTCCTTAATAAGGTAGCAAATAGCAACCAAAAAAAAATACTAGAAAAAGAAATTGATAAATAGAAGTTGAAAGCGATAGAATAGAAAACATAAGTCCAAAAGCTGTTTGTTTATAAACAGTAATAAAATAGACAAACTCCTCTGAATAAAGGAGAAATGAGCAAAAATATACAATATGAAGAATATGAAAGGAGATAACAGAGAAAAGCATGAATATTGGCAACAAACCAAAAAATTCAGGGGAATCAGAAAATTTCCTAGCAAATATAAATTACAAAAACTAGTAAGAACTGGAAAACCAGGATAAACTTATTATCATAAAAGATACTGAAATGATAAATAAAGATATACTGAAAAATAGACTGGATCCAAATGAGTTTTATCTAACTAGTAATTCCAGTACCATTTAAACTATTCCAGATGATAGAGAAGTATGGAAAGAAAGCTCTCCTGTTTTATAAAACACATGGCTTTGATGTCAAAACCCAATACAGTAATAAAACAAAAAATGTATCTACAGACTTAGGAGCTCAGATGTAAAATTTTGAAATATGATTTTAGCTAGTAGAATTCTACAGTATATCAAGAGTGTAATTTAATATGGCCAAGCAGGACTTCTTTCAAGAATTCAAGGACACTTCAACATCAGGAAATCTGTCAACATCTGTTTTACTAGCAAACTAAAGGAGGAAAACCATATGACCATAATAATACATGCTGATAAAGTATTTGAAAAATATGGCAGCTTTTTCTAATAACACCATGGAAAGTTGAAACAGAAAACACTGTTTACCAAAAGACTATTAATATTTGCCAAACCAACATTAATTATTCTAAATTGTGAAACACAAAACCTATTTCTGTTAAAATAAGGAACTTGTTGTAGTGGTGCTGCTGTCACTATTATTACCGTAAACCTTCTAAAAAATAAGGTAACAAAAGACATAAACATTGGGAGGAAAAGACAAAGATGATTTTATTTCTAGAAATTTCAAAAGACTGCAGTAAAAGAAAATGAATACAGAAAAATTGCTACTAAAATTCATGAAAACTTTGGCAGGATGGCTGGATGTAAGATAAATATACAAAAACCACTAGGCCTCCTCGTCTCCAGTAATAAGCACTTAGTAATGGAAATAGGAAAAAAATATTTAAGGATAAACTTTATAAGAGAGGTATATGCATTATAATAATGGTTGAATTCCCCATCACTAGGAAAATTATGGACTAACGTATCAATATACATCATATCATAGAAAATTAGGCTGCCATTAGAACAGGTAACTCCAGAGTCTAACAAGTGGCTTGAAGAAATTTATGAAGCACAGTTGAATAAGGTAAAATATCTTTGAAAAATACATATATATGTATGTGTATGTATAAATGTACACATACACAAATTAAAACTCCTACATATGTATATATGTGAAGATACATATGTGTATATACATCACATGTATGATGACATGGGCACAAAGAAAAGGGTACACTCCAGGTTGTTTACATGGGCTCCTGGGATGTGGGGCTGAGAAGTAAGACAAGTGGGAGAGGGGAATAGGAAGAGGTGACATGCCGAAAAATACATGTTTTAAGATTTCACTGAAAATTCTGTAAGATAAAATTTAAAAAAATTTTTAAGTGTGACTATATGAAAATAAAATTTTAAAACAAAGGTATTTTTAAAAGAGCTGGGATCCACATTCCAGTAATAATAATTACATCTTGACTGGTGAAATGGGAAAGAGGTAAGTGGTCAAAGAGAATTCTGGCTTTTCCTATCCTTTTTAATTTTTCAAAAGAAGTGTGAATTTGTATATTCAGTTGAGATAAAATTAACTTTAAAATTAGCTGTCTAAAAAAGGGAATACAAGAACGTCTGGGAAGAGAGAATCAATTGTATGCAGTGATATGTGGGTTTTCTCTTATTTTTTTTTTATTATACTGTAAGTTCCAGGGTACATGTGCTTGTTAATAGTACGTTCTCTCTCTCTAGATTTTAAAAGAAAAAATATGTATCACTTTTTCATTTACAAAGTATTTCCATTTTTTAAATAATAAAATATGAACTGAGTTAGTAAAAAAAGAAAAGGGTAAGCAATGATTTTGATAGAAGGAGCGAAAGGTAGCTAGGAGCATGCCAAAAGAGTCCTGTGGTCAGGAAGCTGCAGGGGCAGTGATATCCCTCTGGGAGAACCTGGTTTCATGTAAGCACTAAATACAATAGGTTCACAGCCACAATCCTTCCTACCTTCCAAAGACAATAATGCATTTTTTAAATCAGATACATTGAGGTATAAAATTACATATAATGCAGTGCATCCATTTTAAGTGCACAATGCCATGAGTTTTGACAAATGTATACTATACACCTGTTTAACTCCCTGCATAGTCAAAATAGAGAACCTTTCCATCACTTCAAAA